TGGCCCAGCTCAGACTTTGTTCTGGCCATTAAAACCAGTGAATTCATTCCTACTAGTTGTATCATTTAATAAAAATGGGTACTATGTATAAGTGGCTGAAGAGCCACTGATGGTGCAAAACAATAGAAATTACCTGCATGAAGATTGCTTGTAGTGCTGCCATTGGTTTGTCACCCAGATAACTACAGAGGACTGAATGGTTCAAAAACATTTAAGGCTTTATAGGGCCATTACTCTTAAATACTAGATCAGGATCACCTCGTCAGAACAACCCTGAAACCATGTTCATCTAACAGGTGAGAAAAAGGATGGCCTTATTACAATTAAGGCGCTTCTGCAACGGAGCACCACACATTACTTGTTTGAGTCTTTAGCATTAAGCTGAAAGTTCAGAAGTCCCCAAAAAGAAGGTCTGATGTAACATAAACCCATCTCAGCCTGACATTGCACTGTGCAATGTGTGACTTTCCCCCCGTTTGCCATTCAAGCAACTGAGGGATCACTGTGGGCGAAAGAAGACCCATGTCTGTGTGCAACACAAGTGTCAGGTGTGGCAAGTGCACCTGGTCTCTTGAAAAAGCCCTTTGCAGAGGCACCTTTAATGTCCTTGTTTATTAAATCGCCAGTAAGCAACCAGCCTAAAAGCAGAGTGTGCACATATTTCAGTTGACAAGAGAAATGCCCCGGTTAAGTTAGGCTTAAATAGTATTGTTGGCATTTTTGCTTCTTTGTGCCTTTCTAAAACCAGATAACCTTGTGTTGGCAAGTCTCATAGAGTGTTGGAAGAATAAGCTTAAGGCAGAGACACCACTCCCATGAAGTGGCTCTGTTATGACTAGTTGACGAAAGGGTATACACTTTCTAGAGATACTTACTATGTTTTGAATATTACATTTCCTTGTGGGTGAGGAGGGTTGAAAATCTATGCTCAGATTCAAGGAGGGAGCAAGAGCTTTGGTCTACCAGGCTCCATAATGATTTGATGTTGCATGCTCAGTTGCTTTCCTTGTTGCGTAGGTGGATTGCTCCAAAAGGAGGGCAGAGTGAGAACTGGTCTGTTGGTTTGGTGACGGATGCTGTGATATGGATGGAGAACACTGGAATTTTCAATCCAAGCCATTGTCACCACCATTATCATAAAAAGGGGGAAGGTTTGGAGAACTGGACAGAATCTTCATAGCTAAATTCCTTCACATGCATAGCCCTGTTCTATGTCTTGGTCACATAAAAATGCAACAAAGGGCAAAGGTATATGCAGTGCCCTCAAACCCCTGCATTCTCTGCCTATTCACATGGAATGAAGCATTTAACAATATTCAGTGGAGTCAGGTGGAGGAGATACTGCGAAAACTAACTGGCACAAATAACTTGAAGCTGGTGCCACATGACACTGGAAAGAACTTCAGACTTCTAATTTTGTTGCTGTCTCCTACTGATTAGTCTGTGCAATCCACGCAGGGAGTCTGCCAGCCCTCATGCTGACTGCAGCTACTTGGCAGGGCCAGGACAGGTGGCACAGTGACTGTAGCACACAAGCAGCAAACACCTTGCATGCAAGTCAATACTTTTGCAAATATACTTCCAGCCACCCTTTCATCGTGAGTATTACCAGTGCTGGGAAAAGCTGCTGTCATCCTCATTAAGCATTTCTACTCGCCCCAAAGCATTACTAATTATAGCTTTTTTGGAACCGTCCTGCAGCCACAGCAGACTGATGGCATAATTATTCAAGTTGTAATGAAAAATGGTTTGCTAGGCTGAGGTCCAATCTGTCTGTCTCCTTGGTTTCGTCAGAGCACTTTCATTGGCCTCAGCATGCCCTACCTACAGACAGCATCCACTGAAAACAACTTCTCCGCTTCCTTCACTACTGCCTGGCAGGCAGTACTACAAAATCCTCCACTGTCTAAAAGAACAATGCTATAGGTAGTATTCCCAGGAGATAGAGAGAAAAATTGCTGTCAGCAATGGCATGAAGTCACGCCTCTTTAGGAATCACCAGAAATCTAATCTGGTGTTCCACCAAACAGCAGTTCATATAAATTACAATGAACTATATTCATACTATGTTAGTGTCCCTAAAATTCCTATAGAGGCAGGAAATTTGGCATCATAGCAAAAACTTAAACACACTGCTCCTTCTCTGCCCTGGTATTAATTAAGGTGAGGGCTCAGCCAATTTGTTTTGTTTTCTGTTGTAGTTTCTTTGCTTTTTGGCCATCTCCTGGGTTTGTTTAGTACAATCTAGATGTTGTAATTCAAACAATTCTGAAATGTCATCTAGTAAATCTCTTTGTTTAATGGGCAAGGATTAATGTTCTTGATTTACATATATGAAAAATCAGGAAGGTGACCATTCGCCAGAATTGGGAACTGAAACAGGGATACACCCCGTTCACTCCCCTCAACTACAGGTAATGAATTTTCAGCACAAAACATCACACACCCACTCCCTTTCCTTTGGCAAATTTCAGTAAGGTTGATAACCATATTCAGTAGTTTTATTTCCTTAGCTTGTTGTTATAACATTATTATACAAAGAAAATGTTGGAGAAAGCCTACAACTAATGTTCCGGGAGGTTCCTATAGGCAGGCCCATTAAGATATATTCAGGTTTTTGTGGAAGTTAAATTTAGATACAAAGAACAATACCATACATTTTGTCTTTGATCATGTAGCTCAATATGCAGAAGCAAATTTTGGCCCTTGGAACTTGGCATGAATTGTACAAAGGATAACACAGCAGGCTTTCCACTCTGCGCACTATGAATATGGACAAGCTGCGTTTTTGTATTATAGATCCCTAATTTTGAATGCACAGTAGAAAGCCACTGGGTAAAGCTACATGTACTGCATAAAGAACAGTTACCTCTTATAGCTGACATACATTTTGTAAAGAATTTGTTAAAAACATCTTTTTAAAAAAGGTTTCCTTTAGTTATAGAAATGCACAGGTGTTCTAGACATTAGCCAACTGCCATTATTTCCAAATTTAGGATTTTAAACATGCAGCCCCCTCCCCCCATAATAATAAAACAATAATTCTAGGTTGAGATGGGTTTTCCTTGCCCAAACCTCAAGTGAATATATATGGCCAGCTGTGTACACTCAGAGAACAGGAAGGCCTTCTTCACAGAAGCACTAACAAGCCAAGACAAGGTATAGCACTAGCACTGATTGACAGGTCGATCTGGTCAAGTACTTAAGACCCTGTGTAACTTTCAATGTGGGGGTAGTTAGGGGCCCTTGGGTATTTGGCTTCATCACATAAGCACTTCATTAAATGGGTATGTTTTTCAAGAACTCCATGCCTTTACTGAACTTTTCTTTCTATATGATCCAAGGCCTTTTAACTGCCTGCCTGGGGGAGAATGACTAAAAAGATAAAGCTACGTAGATGGACGTTGGATAAACTTGGGCATCACCTTCTGTACTGTCATTTCTCTGGTTTGCAGTGAGCCCTCATCTGGAAATAAAGCTGGTGGGTCAGCTCATTCAGACGACCGCCAATATATCCAATTCACCTTCTCGGGATAGGTAGTCACGAGCAACAGAGGTAATGGACACAATTTGTTTTTGCATTATTCAGACCAACTCACAGATGTGCATAGAAAAGAAACAAGACCAGCTTTTTAAATGGGAAAAGCTCTGAACAAAAGACGTATGGTGTTCAACAAAGGAATACAGTGGTTTTAAAAAGGATGGTAAAATCAAAGCCTGGAGCTGAGACTCAGTCAAGATTTCATCTTCCAGTGCAGCTGCTTTGTTCAAAATGAAAAGTCAAGGCAAAATTTGTCTATCCTGTGAAAAAATGATATGCAGTGCTGTCTCATAAGTTCAGGAAAACAGCAGTTATCACGCATATAGACAATGGATGTAATCTAGCAAAAATCAGTTACATCTAAGTCCTTTTGAAATCAATGGAGCCAAAGTGCCCAGTCGAATGCTTATGTCAAGCCATGTATGGGGACTTAAATGGGCCTATCTTTATTGCACTAACTGATGTTTATGATAAAATATGTCATCTTAAATAAGGAGTATTCTGAATGTTCAATATCTGTTTCTAATTAGAGAAATACCCTAACTGGAGCAAAGGATATTTTTAGGCATAAGCATGCTCCAGCATGAGAACAATCGACCCTGTGACGATGCATTTGTATGAAACATCATAGTCCAAGCGGACCATCTCCTCTTAAATGCAAAGGACTGATGCACACACAAATCATCTTTAGAAAAGGAATCACATGAATATATGCTAATATCACCTATAATTTGTTTGTAGGATTTACTAAGCTTTCGGACATCTGTCTATAAAGCAAAGGTTAAGGATATTTGTTCACAAATTCTCCACTTGTGTTGGTAACGCAGTGTGTATGAGTGAGTGTGGGTCTATGCATGCAATTCACCAGTACAACATATCCAAGCCTCTGTGCCTGATATGCAATCCAGGTCTATTTGCTTGAATGCTTCTCATCCTCTGCTTTTTTTCCTTTTCCTTTCTTTTTCTTTGTGTTGATTATACGCAGTTCTTTTTGACCATTGTTTCCATTTGAGGCCAAGTAGCTGTACCTGGGGCAAAGTCACTGTCGGCAGATTCACCACCATTATAATGACCTTAAGAATCGAAAACCTCACATGAACAAGGTAAAAACATTCAGACTTTGGAAGATCAACTTGAAGGAGAATAGTGGTTACAAAGTTACCATCCATGACCTCTAGATTTGACTATGAGGAAATGAAATTACACTGTATTTGACCTCGGAGCTGAGGGCCAATCTTTGTGCCTCTGAGCTTTCTAGTATCGACTCTTTAATTTTTTTTTTTATTTTATTTTATTAAGAACCCCATTGGTCTTATAAGAAATAGTAAAAAGACCCTTTGTTTAAAGAAGCATTCTACCTTCTGTTTTACAGACTGTTCTTAAATAAAGTTTTTAATTCCATGTTCTTTTATTATGGAAACCTTAACATCTTGTTCTTAGTAAAAAAATTATGTCAAGGTTACCACTTTTCTATAATATGGCTCATGTAGTCCTCTGTAGGTAAGCGTCCTTGTTCCTCCGTCTCTTCCTTGGGAAGCGCCTCATTAGACCGGTGAAGAAGCCTCTCTTCCCGATTCTTTATCCTCTGCTCCATCCTCTCCAGCTGCCGCTTGTACTGGTATCGTTGTTGGAAGAGGTCCTTTGCATAGTCATATAGCTGCATGTCCAAGTCATTAAGCTCCTCAATCCTTCGTATGGTATTGTTGTCCACCTCCACTCCACCTGCCCTTGTGCTGTTGTACTGCATGAACGGCCTGATGAATTTCAGATTGAAAGTTCTCTCAAATAAGTACTGTGTTTTTCTCTGGAACTCTGTCAAGCCAAAAAAGGCCATGTCTTTAAGATTCTTCTTGGCACTCTCCAACAGTATCTGTGCTCGCTTGTTTTCTGGTATGAAGGACATATTATAGCAGCCCACCAAACTCAGATCAGCCAACATCCTCACTTGACGGTTGTTGGCTAAGTTATATGGGCAGTCCATGAACTCCTGAAGGGTACAGCCTGACCAGTCTGTGCCTTCATAGCATGATGGTAGCTCTTCAGGGGTTGGTGTCCGACCGTCACACATGTGCAGGGATGTTTTCCAGGTAGCACCTCGCTGCACATGTCTCCATTCACTGAGGTAACGGGACACAGGATCTCTCAACAGAGTGATGTAATAAAATTTCCTGTAAGAAAGAGAAAAGTATTTAAATATTCTATACATCATAGAAGAATTATTTGGCTGCTGGGGAATACTGAATATGTAAGATGAGCAAGTTAACAATCAATATTTAAATACTGTCAATATTTGCCTCCTTTTTCTCATAAGACTCTTTTCTGAGACATCTTTTATCTAGCAAAAAGACTACAGAAAACTTTTTCTTAAAAAAAAAATTCAGCCATGCTTTGCAATATCACATTCTAGTAAGGTCCGAATAAATCAAATGACCCACTCCCCTCTGAATTCTCTTTGGGCTTAGGGATCAATTGGCTTTCCACAGTACCATACACTTTAGGATTTAGTCAAGGTGATTGGTTCTATGGCATGGGCTGTATATTACTGAAATAATTTACAGGACACCCAGATGCAATTGCAGAAATAGAGATGTGAAGGCCTGGAAAAAAACCCGGAAAAATTCAGAAAAAAAACAGGTTTTTTTCAGTTTTTTTCCTGAAGCCTTTTTTGTCCCCCCCCCCCACGGGAAAATTGGAAAAATTGAAAAAAGAAAAGAAACTGATTATGGAACGTTTTATTTTAACAAGATGAATAGAATATTTTAAGACAAGCTGTTCAAATATTTTCCAAATGTTTCTAAAAAATATGTATGGTATCAGATTAATCTAATTTCTGTGCACTGAGGACAAGCAAGTCCTAGGTTACAACCTGAATTCCAATGCAAGAACAAGATGCATTTCTTCCTTTAGGAGGTGCTATTGTCACAAGAAAAGAAAAAGGTTTCGTTTTTGTATGTGGGTGGGTATACTGGCACTCAGGCTTCACTAGGCCTCAAAGCATTGGAAGAAAATACAGAGCAACAAAAAGGACCTGAAAGTATATACTTAATTTCAAAAGGTAAGAGTTTTCATTTATCTGATTCCAGAAAACTGAATCATTTAGCTACATTAGTTTATCTTTATAACCTTTGTGTAAATAATAATTTAGTTACTACTAATCTGATTCTTTACTTGCCCCCACCCACCCACAATAATTGTTTCGATACACTATATTTTTAAAATGCTATTTATTTATTTATTTATTTATTTATTGTACTTATACCCCGCCCTCCCCCGTGGGCTCAGGGCGGCTTACAGAGGCAAGAACACTTGCCATGGTAAAACAATCATATACATAACAATTTAAAACATATACTACATATTAAAATCTTAAATTAGATCTTAAAATAAACAAAGTGCTCAGTGCCATTCATACTCAAAAGGTGGCGGATCATCTGTCCAAAGTCCCAAGGAGACGGCAGAAGGATTGTTCCATAATAGATGTTTCATCGGGACCTCAGGGCGGTGGTAGTATAGTAGGGGCGGCGGCTCCTACTCGAAAGCCTGGCGGAAGAGCTCCGTCTTGCAGGCCCTGCGGAACTGCATCAGATCCTGCAGGGCCCTGATCTCCTCCGGGAGCTCATTCCACCAGTTAGGAGCCGCCACCGAAAAAGCCCTGGTCCTCGTGGCGGCTAGTTTGACCTCCTTAGGGCCCGGGCTAGTTAGTACATTTTGGGCCCCTGACCGTAGTGCTCTTGGGGGAACATACGGGGAAAGGCGGTCCCTCAGGTAGGCTGGACCCTGGCCATATAGGGCTTTATAGGTAGCGACCAGCACTTTGAAGTGAATCCGGTACGCTATTGGCAACCAGTGCAGCGCTTTCAGCGCAGGCCACACATGGTCCCTTCTAGAGAGACCAATTAACAGCCTGGCCGCAGCATTCTACACCAGTTGCAGCTTCCGGATTTGCGACAGAGGCAGCCCCATGTAGAGAGCGTTGCAGTAGTCTAGCCTCGAGGTGACCGTCACGTGGATCACTGTGGCCAGGTCATCACGGTCAAGGTAGGGGACCAACTGCCGTGCCCGCCTAAGATGGAAAAAGGCGGACTTGACAGTGGCTGCCACCTGGGCCTCCATCGTTAGAGTGGAGTCCAGGAGCACCCCCAAACTCCGGACCCCAGAAGCTGGCACCAAAGGTACCCCATCGAAGGTCGGAAGAGGGAGCCCCAACCCGACTCAGGCCCAGGACCTCCGTCTTCATCGGGTTTAGTTTCAATCGGCTCAGCCGGAGCCAACCAGCCACAGCTTCTAATGCCCGATGAAGGTCATCGGGACTCGAGTTCGACCAGCCACCCAGCATCAGATAGAGCTGGGTGTCATCTGCATACTGATGACACCCAAGCCCATAACTCCGGGCAATCTGGGCAAGGGGGCGCATATAGATATTAAATAGTATCGGGGACAACACTGCTCCCTGTGGCACCCCACACTCAAGGGGATACCTACGGGAGCGCCGGTCCCCGAGAACCACCCTAGTTGTGATAATTTCATGCCAAGTAAAATTGTCCACAGTCATATTTTATGTCCCTAAAGTAAAAGAATGACTTTCAATCTGGAAGAAAAAAAAGAAGTGCTAATGTAGCATTTCCTCCCAATTTTTCCGAAAATTTCCATTTTTCCCTGGAAAAAAACCCCAGAAAAATATTGGGGTTTTTTCCAAGCTTCAAAATTTCCAGAAATTTTACATCTCTATGCAGAACTGCTGACTAGATGGGACCTAATCTAAACCAACCTACTCTCGGATTACCATATGACAATAAAAATTCTTTACAAATTATTTAATCCAGGTTAGGGTTAGTCCAACTGACAAAAGAACAAAATGGCTCATGGTGCACTAAAGTGCATGCATAACAAGGAGTATACTAGTCAGAAGGCACAATTTTTCTCCTTCTCTCTCTCTGTCTCTGTCTCACTCACTCACTCACTCACACACTCACACATACACTTTTATTATGTTTAAGGTTTTTATATCCTGCCTTTCCAATAAAATGTTCAAGGAAGTCAATAATTATAGAATAAAAATACAACAAAACAATAATATATTTGGTCCCTCATGCATTAAATAAAAACAGTAGAAAAATAATTAAAACAACTCTAAAGACCCTATCAAAAGCAGCAATTACTGCAATAAACCACAAGAGCCTATATAAAACATAGTATTGAAACACAGCACTAACTAAATTCTCAGAGAAATTTGCAGTGCACTCATGTAGATGGCCCTTTCCCACCTTCATTCTATTTAGTATGTGCACCTGAGGGAAGCACCTGAAAAAGAGAGATTTACAGGACTATATGGCAGCACATAGTGTTTTAGATACTCTGGTTGTGTGACAGACAGAAGGCTGTCCTGCTCCTGAAGGGTTAATATACAATTCTTGCCTCAATGATCTACACATTCCACTTGTGCACCACAAAACCTACCTCACAGCAGCGAACCCAAAGCCTATACACTCACTACCTTTAGAATACCTGGTATCTGAGGGGAAAGTTTATAGTTTAAAATAAACCTGGTTCCCCCCAAATCATAGGAGGATGTGTGTGTCCCCTCAGTTGATAGAAACAGCTTGTCAGACTGGTCCCAAACCATTTTTGGTTATGAAGGCTAAAAACAGCACCTTGAATTGTTCTCAGAAAGCTGGACCAAGCAATACTCCCCCCCCCCAAAAGCTGTGAACCTGGTATTTCAAAAGAAGTGCTATCCCGTCTAGAACATGTCCTCACCTGGATAGCCCAGGCAAGCCCAATCTCAGATCTCGAAAGCTAAGCAGGGTCAACTCTGGCAACTACTTGGATGGGAGACCTCCTTGGAATACCAGCAGTTGGGAGGAGGGAGCAGGCTTTATTCAGCCACCTCTCTGGATATTCTACAGGCCCCTAGTAGGGTTCAGTCACCAGAGGTTTGTGCACCATGATTTCCAGGTGCGCGCGCGCACACACACATATGTATTTGCTGTGTGGTGATGCACTGAGTCATTTTCGACATCTGTTCCTTGAGGTTACTCATCTGGTTCAGTAGAGGGCGCATGGATTCTGCCAAAGTCTTTGCCAGCTCATTGGTTCCTTCCGGTTTGGGGCTCTCCATTAGTTTCAGTTTCAAAAGTTTCTCTTTCTCCGTCCTCTTCCCCACCATCTTTCTCGATTGTTTGAAAAATATTTTGAAAGTCTCTGAATATGCGCTCAAATGCCTGAACTCGCCTTGGTGAGTATTTCCTAACAGTTGTACATGCTTTCTCTTCTGCTCCCCCCCCTCGATTCGCTCAAAAGTTCATGCGGTTAGGAGTCGTCCCTCCCCCGCCCGCCTCAATTTCCGTTTTTCAACATGGGGTAGGGAGCTTTCTTTTCTCTTTAACCGTTGTTTCGCTCAGTCCGACTCACATTCATATCTGGTCTTCCGACCTAGCTTTGCTTCGTTTCGCCCGCTCGATCTCCTACGCTTGCCCCGGTTGGCATCACTAGATCCCATTCGGGCACTGTGCAGGAAGGACCATTGTGACAGAGGAGCGCCTCAATTCACCCACAACACACAGGCGAAGAGGCGACTCCTCGAAAGTCCCCTGGCTAGGAGCCTTCCACCAGGCTTCCTGGGGGTGGTGGTAACGGGCCAGCGCTCCCCCTCCTTCCCGCCGTGCACAGACCGCATCCCCAGGAGGTCCGGGAGATGCGTCTGCCCAGCGTGCCGCCATCAACCAGAAGTCCCTCCCCATCCATTCTTCATTGGAACATCCAACTTGCAAGACAGATAAGTATTGCCCATCATCACCCCCACCTGCCAATGCAATTGTGCTTATTTTAATACTGTATTTCTAAGGAACTTGATTGAATGTGTGAGTGCATCAGTATTGTTTGTATGAAATTTATATTCTTTAAGTAAAAGACATTTATTTTAACAACAACAGCTTCGAATCCTTCTCTGGTAACCCTTGGTGGGAACAGGACCTTGGTATAGTTGGCAAGGACCCATTTATAAATTGCCAATTGCTGTAAATAAAGCAATTCGGCTTACAGTGATAAAAAATCTGTCTTTATACGCATTACATTTTAGATGTTAGCCCTATGCAAGTGTTTAAAAATTCAGCTTTCTAGAACCTAATGTCTATTTTTTCAATAAATGGGTATATATTTTTTTCTATCT